TCAATTATAATTCAAAAATTTACAAATTTAATACGGTTGATAACAATTGGGTAGATTTAAGGATAAAATCCGTCAATAATTGAATTGAAGCCTGTCCCTGACTTGAAAGCTGGATCCGCCCTTGACTGAAGGTGCTAAAGAATAGGCTTAGATAATTTCAAATGTGTCTAGAAAAAAATCGAGTATAAATTAAAAAGCCTTATTCTGGCGATTTGATTTTATGTAACTATTTCAGTTTTCAATGAGAACATACATCTCTTGCTAACTTTTGTTCCCGTTTGGGTCTGTACAAACTTTGAAGTTGGATGTTCATATTTAGTGATTCACAGGTCAACTTTCCATTCTCCATTGAAAACACATTCCAACCAGAATAATTAGACATTTGAAACGGCCTATTTACTCGTTCGAAACGATCGGCTAGAAAACAGTTGGTCAGCGTATCACCTATAGAACTACTTAGGAAGTATGCCGGACACAATGCTTTACTCACATTATTACTTTGTCGACTGTACTTAGTACGTATTAAATAACGACAGCCTTTGAATTATTTGCCATATCGAACAAAATATATCGACAATAAGTGCCAACTTTTAGAGTGTAATGCATTGTTTGTTTGACCAACGTAATACGCCAGTTTTCTTTTAACGGACACTTAGACTGGCAGCCAAATTGCTTGATTTTTTCGTTATTCATTAAAAAATCTCGTTTCACTTTTACTTTTCTATTCTATGAATTTTCCGTTGGCCTGAACCAAACCCAAATAGTTGAAATGTTAATCAATAACTGTACACACATTTTTTCAACATTTGGACCATTGCCTCGAAGTCCATTTGGTATCATCTCTAGATGGTTTTGCATACTGTCAAAAACTTTCTACATAAATTAACTGTTTAAAACTGCTTCGCACAGGAGATATTTATGAATGATTCAATGATGATCTTATTGTTCGGGAATTTTTACCCTAGTTTTCGCCCTGCGTTGTCTTATTGCCTTTATGAATGGAAGCTATTTGCATTTGGAGCCGGCCCGTAAAGCTATTGTTTATGTTATTAGAATGCGAATAATTATCTTCGTTAAAGTCAATAAAGTTGAGCTATGTACAATTTTGCTACTGGAAACACAATTTTGTAAAACTGATGAGAAAATACGGCCTTAAATAGTAAATGTTGAGATAAGGCAGAGAAGATAATAAAGTTTGTTAAATTCTGAATCGCTTTCAGGCCTGAATTTAACTAGTTTCAGGTAACAGTTTTTGAACGCAAATATTATATTCTATTTGCCCTATTAATTTGCACTAAATAATTTAACTCAATATTAAAATAGGGCTTCTATGTAATCCACAACATAATTACCAAACAATGAATTTTAATTGTTGATTTTAACGAATTCCGGCAGTCCACATGCATTAATAATCCCGATTGAACGTGCAAATTATGAATACTAATAATTCAGGAGAAAACTTTAGAATGCACGCATCAATCACTGAACATGCTAAAGTGCGATATCGTGGTTTAGATTCCATAAGTCTTCGAGTGTAGGTCATGACCTATGAAAATCACTTCAAACTGAACAAGCGATTCATCCGCCCATTCACTTTTACTTTAAACGCATGCCGGATGCAAAAGCAGGAGCGGTTCTTTGCCATGGGAAAAAGTCGGTTTACTTTCTACTGGAGGACTTTACTTAATGGTGATTTTATGGACAACTGAAGGTGTCTTTGTTTGCTTTCAAAGTTAAGCATCCAAGAGAACACGCAGTTAATGAGGATGGTGCCTCGCAAATGTGTTGTACTTGTTTGGTTGATGGTGGTGGCGCAAATCAATTAAACTCTCTGCACAGGGAACTTAGAAATTTAACATTAAAAATTAAATTGAGGAATTGAAATATTTTCGCACGCTTCCAAAGTCCACATGAAACTATATATTGCTTGTCCGGTGGCAACCTATACAGTCATACTTCTATAACCGGGCACTCATGATTCTACTACATTTGTCGAGTTATTGAAGGTGTCCGCTTAATAGTGGGATTTAAAAAAATGGTTTAGAGTTGTAGGGTTAAAATAAGAATTAATACTATGTAGACGCGCATATAAAATCAAAATGAATTAAATACTTTGACTCTGAATTTAAACTTGTAAGAAATGTATCAATGAACCGTAGCTACTTACCCATTTTCAAAATTTGTAATGCTAGACTGGCGCAACTTCGGCATTTTTTCTACTAAATAACAACTATGAAAATTATGAAGTATTTTTAAAGCTCCAATGCTCACGTATTGCGTTCTAACAAAACTATTTTCGAAAAGTCGGAAAGAAGTCCATCACTTCTAGCCAAAGCCAAGTAAAAATATTTTCTGAATTAATTTTAACTGAATCCGAACATTTTTCTACAATCTGCATGGTGTTTCAAAAGAAAAACACATATGGAAACATTTTATCCTGCAATGGTACGCAATTACGCCTGGAAACCTTAATTATATGGAAATGCTTTAAACTAAACCTTTTTCCAGCAAACGTTTGTAAAGTAAGGAACACGATTCAAGCCTTGGAAATCCGCAAAAATACATACAGATTTTCCAACATTCAGCCATAATACATATTGCAAAGACGAAACTGAACCAAGCGAGGATCAATAATGTTATGAGCGTTTTCAAGCACTATACAACAAAATAGCCAATTTTAAAATTCATATATCCACTGAGAAAAACAACAACAAGTCGAATCACGTCCACGCTGTCATATTTTATGATGTAGGTTAATACAATCCAATGGGACAATCATTTGTAAGGGCGAAGCTCAGGGAATCGTTAATTTTCGACTAAATGCTAAATAACGCTGCATGAAAGCATTATTCGATGAAGCTTTTGATTTATTAGTGATTTATCATTCCACGCTCACTCTGAATGGTCATTAAATGCCCCTGAGTAGAAGTGATAAGGTATTTTTGAGCAGTAAATGAATCACATAAAAAAGAGCAAAATAAAAATGTCAACTTTGAAACAAGCTTAAATACTTAATTAAACCTTCTCAGAGGTGAAAGAATTCCAAAAATACTTAAATCTCATTATCTATTGTTAGGCAGTTCAAATGTGAAATGTCCAAACATGAAATTGGAACAATGGCAAAATATTAGCAAATTGTTTTTTTCACTAGATTGGTTTCTTAATATCCGACACATCAGATATTTCTGTGTCACTCCGCTTTCATCAGCCAACGTTTTTAATTAACATTAGTTACGCACATGCACAAACAAATTAAACAAAAGATTCCTATTGAATGAAATTGACCCTTTCACCAATAAAATTTACTAAATCGTTAAGTTGCTCGTTAATTTACTAGAAATAATGAGATATTTGAACTTGCGTGGTTTTTGTTTAAAAACCACTTTCCTCTTTTTACGCAACAGCTTGTAATCGACAAAATCTATCTGGGTTGACCTAAGGACTTGCCAAAGAATCTGGAGATTATCGACGATCATTTTCTTGGCTTTCCCATAGAGTTTATGTGGTTGAATCGCGATAGAAACGTGTTCATTTTTACTTCTACTTCTAATTGACCCTAAAAACGTTTTCTTGACGCACTTTGAAACATACTGTTTATTGAATTGTAGTAAACTGTGATCCCAAAATTGGAATTTAGGCGGTCAACGGAGCAAGACGTTTTTGTGCAATATGAGCTTGGTTTGCCTCTCAGTTCAATCGAAGAGAGATTTTACGTTTTACAAGTGAGGTTCACACTTTGAACACTTTGAACTGGAAAATTTTACATTGCAGCTTCAATTTTTTCAGGACTCTTTCCAGTTTTGGTAATTGCAAGATTAGAATAAAAAATATTTTAATATTATATCGGTTTCCAACTTTTTTTGCCTTGAATGTTGAGTTCAACTTACACCAAAACAATTTTGTGTATTTTTTATTAAAATTACAAATATTTCTGTTCGAGCGGAACGACAATGTTGGGGCTGATGATTTTACCTGTGAGTCGGTTAATCGCATTTACACCCCAAGACCAGCAGTAGTAACTTAATACAGTTAACATGCGACACTATTTGACTGAACATGCAATATTCGGCAGTTTCCTCTTGTGTACCATTAAACTATCAAAGATTTGCCGTTCAAATGCACGATAACAAACAAGACATTGAACCCAAAATTGCCTGCTTTAAAAGAGTTTTGTTATTACTCAACGAAATACCACATCAACTTTATATCCTGAAATAAATTAGTCAGTTCTAGAAATTCGAAGAAGCAGCAAAACATAATTAGAGGCATTTTAATTAAAAAAATGCTCATAAATTAACCGGTTCTCATTCTGTGTTATATGCGTGATTTTGGTAATTAAGGGGCAAAAGTGGAAATATATTAATGGAGTGAAGAAACTGGGTGTTTTTATTATTTGTTTCCACTACTTTCATCAGAACCACCCAGACAAATAATGAATCACCAGACGAAAATAAATTACGGCATTGTAAAAATTTCTCGTTTACTGCTTAAATAGACTAGAAAAGTTTGGGTTGCAAGTATTATATGACTTTGTATGGGAAATATAGTTTACTTCAGCTGCCCGGCTTGGTACTTCGCAGGAACTGAACATGCACGAGTCCAAAGGACCAAAATCATCACCGTTTGCACACTCCATTCAGACACAATTTTGGCAAACATCCCTCAAAGACTAACAAAAAATATGGATAAATCAAAATGCACTTGCGTTTCATTCCGAGCACGTTCATCTACTAGACATAACATATCCGCAAACAGCTTCGGTGTAAACATGAGGTAGAAGCGTTTCGATTTGTTCACGGTCTGCTGCAGCTTAACCTTCGCCATGACCGTCGGCACCTTGCGGAAGACGCTGCCGAAGAGGTGCATATCGGATATCGCACAGGGCGCATGAAACGAGGTTAGAGCGCGCGACTTGAGAAAGCGGTTCCACGGTACATTCGTTATAATCCACAGGCCCAAAATGTATGGGCCCGACGACACTGGGGAGGGAGACTTTGTTATATATCAGTTTAACCCGGCCGGAAGATCACATCATTCAGAAAATCACTACGATGAACTTCAAAATAGTTTCTGTGATCCTGTGCGCGGCGGTCGTGTCTCAAGCTCTTCCCACGCAGGAAGAAGCTCGCAGCAACTCCATTCAGACGGAAAACGACTTGTTGGACGCCGTCTACACCGATTGTCTACGCAAAGATTCACTCTCCTGTCTCAAGTACAAGATCTACAACTTCGTGGACAAGACCCTGGGCCAAAAGGATACGATTACAGTGACTGATGGAGTACAAATCATCAAAACTGGAAGTGATAAGGATGGTGCACCTCGCGCCCTAAACAGTGACGATTCCATCGAAACTCTTGTCTTCGATCGCGTGGCTCGTTGGCTGGATACTCACACCATCAAAGTTGACCTGAAGGGTAGCGAAATTGTCAATGCCGTTCAATCGACCGCCAGAAGCTTCAATGATGTTATTGCTGAAGACGATGGCAGCGGCGTGGAAGAGGGCAGGAAGAAGAAGAAGAAGGGCGGCAACATGGGACCTTTGATGGCCGCTCTTGCCCTGAAAGCTGCAATCCTAGGAAAACTGGCTCTTTGGGCTATCGCCATGTTGGCTGGAAAGGCACTGCTGATTGGTAAAATCGCCCTAGTATTGTCCTCCATCATTGGAATCAAGAAACTCCTGGCCAGCCAGAACAGCGGAAAACATGTCACTTATGAAGTTGTTTCCCATCCACAACATACCAGCAGTCACGTCAACACTCACGAAGTGGCCTACGCTGGAGGTTCAGGGCATGGAGGCGGCTATGGAGGAGATGTAGGAGGATTCAGCGGCGGTTCAGGACATGGAGGCTGGGGAAGGTCCCTGGAAGCTCAACAGCTCGCCTACAGAGGACAACAGCCAGAGGCGCAGACACAACAGTAGATAGTTCAGTACCTGCCAAATCTTCAACCGAAAGCCCAGTTCCAAGCAAGAGCAACAGCTGTACATTTTTCCATGACATAGCTCTTGAAGGGACTTTAGCTCACGGCTTACAAAATGATATTTATGTAATTTATTTTAAAATAAAGCTTAGTTGTAACACGAACAAGACTATGACCTACCAACAGACAAACACATTATTTACGATATTACATAGCTCTAAGAAATCTGTTAGATTGAACCGATCAAAGGCGCAAATAAATGAGTTTTTATTTTGATGTTGTTGTGTTTTCCTCCACGTCCACTAGCCAAGCAGTAAAAACGCATCATTGACCAATTTAACGGTAGACCGCACCTAATGTGTCCTAGAAAAACACAGTGGGAAGATATTTAAATAAAAATCTTCTTTCGTATTAACCTGCCTGGAAAGCAATTAAATCATTCGGGGGCCCTCTGAAATTTAAATTTGTCATTAATCGGCACATGAGCTTGATTGATTGGCTGCTCGTAGAGAAAGTTCGACATTTTCGTGGACCCTGCGTATGTGGACACATGGTAGGTGGGCACTATTTTTTTCTTCTCTAGTAAAGTATCGGTTATTTATGATTTTCCGTTTCATGCATTTGGGTTTCTAGCACAAAGAAGGTCGCATATTGTTTTGCTTTTCTTCAACTTTCTTTAGATAAAAACTCGTGTACTACTCGATAAATAAGCAAGCGGAATGACCGTATGTCGTGTTAATGCAAACAAGTGATATATTGCTGATGTTTTAACAGACGCTGAAGAAAGAAGCACTTGACTCGTGTGGATAAACAGTCATTACAAAACTCAAAAGGGATTTGAATATTCAGATTAAAAATTGATTCGAGTCCTTAAACTGAGTCCTGCTGCCTTATGTATTTACGCAATATTAGGAGCAACAAATTGCTGATTTGCTTGAAAACGCCAGACCATTTTTAATTTGAATATTTCAAATTCTAATTGCCGATCACAAAACATACTTTGTTACAATTAAAATGTGTAAGAGTTATCCGCAGAAATTGTCGCGTACAGGAAAGTATAATAAGTTGCCACTTAAAAATTTGCTGAGTTGTTGAGCATGATCCAGGCTCAATTTTATTCATAAAGTTTTTCTTTGTACCTTGGTGATATTTTTAGGATCTGATATTTTTTCTAAATTTAAGGTATAATTATCATAAAAAAATATGAAAAGTTCGTTTGTAACAGAAGACAAAGCAACGGAACTAACATAAGAATTAAGTAACAATGTAGTGTCTTTGAAGTGAAGTCAGTTATACCAAAATCGACTAAGAAACGACGGTTTGATCTATTTTTATGTTTTAGAAAATAAGATAAAATAAAACAGCGTGCTTCGCATTGAAATAATGTCTACAAGTATTCGACAGTCGACAATTTTAACCCATTTAGCTGTAAAATACTTTGTTCTATTCCCTACGTACGTATTGGTACGAATAACGCAATAACAACTATTTATGGTTCGTTTCAGCGAGTTCCAGGGAGCGATAAACCGTAAATCCTATATGTTTCAAATAACGTTCAATATCTATAAAATGGAAAGAAATGCATGCAAATCTTTATTACATGCAGTTTTAGCGCAGCTGGGAAGCAACAATATGTTATTTACTGACGAGCTTCCAATCAGCTTCTAGCTCTGACATTGAACGGAGTTCGAATATAATATAGATGTTTTATTTACATTAATTTTTAATTTTGCCATTAACCTGTTTTGGTAAATTATAATAAGTTTGTAGTTGGTTCAATTTCCAATGGCGGTTTTACATTAGTGAATCAGTTTAATACTTATAATAATTAATGAACTCGATTTATTTAAAATATAAATAATTTCAAAGGAAATTAAAATTATAACTTGTTCCTTGCATCTTTGGCAAAAAAAGCGTTGATCGTCCACCCTAAGTAATATTTTTAGCAATTTTTCATATATTTAATTAGGAAACTAATACGGTTCAATTAAGAAAAGTGGTAAGAGCAAGATATATTTCACTTTTAGTTCAATGTGGTAGTAAAAATGCCAATAAAACTTTAGCAAATGCACTTGTCCATCCAAAAAATAAAAGTTTTACTTGCCAATGAAACACTTTAAATGTTTAACATATTCAGCTGACAATATCGTTATCTTGCTAATTAGACGTAGTAACAAATTTGATTTTCAGAACTTTGCTGCTGAATTTTTAAAACTGACTATAAAACCATAAAAATTGGAATTCCCAGTTATATTTCCAGCAGCTGAGCTAATTGGCGACTTCTACTTTCTTTCACTTTGCGGTTTCAAAATCGTTTAAAATTCGCTTTGCGGTAGAAAAAAAATCGTTGTATTTTCCGAGATCTGCAGTTAGAAACTTACACTGTCGTTTTAACAACTAGTTAAATCATCCAATATGCGAATCTTTTGTATGTCACAGTTGAAAATGATACAGCGATTATTAAACAACACGTTTTCGATGTTTACGTGGTAATTTAGTAGAAACGCACGAAAGCATGTTTGCGTTTAGCCGCTTCCAACAGCAGACATCTGCCTTTCAGTCACAAAGCGCTACGAAATTAAATTGAAGTCAAAAAGCACGATTTATATCAACAAAATGACGATGAAAGAGGATTGGAAATAATAGGAAAATCGCTTTTTGCCTATTTGGTATCCATCTGGGAGCTCAGTTTCTCTTTGTGTAATTAAAAATGTTTTATATTCTTATAATTGCCTTATTATTTCTTCGATAGCTTATTTTAAAACCGAATAAATTGATTCACCACCTAAGGAATTTTAAGACTCCAATTAAAGTACTTTTGGAAGGAAACTTCCCAAGCTTTTCAATTTCAATTCAATTCTAAGCCCATACTTTCAATGCCGAAAAGTTCATTTGCTTGAGCAAGGCAGCAATTGATGTCATGTAGAACTAATTAGTTTTCCTCTTAACAAGAAGTTCTTCGAAATCTTGTTGCTCCTGCAACTTATACAATTAAAACGGTAAAAACAAACCGTTTAGACTGTCGCAGAGTTACTAATTACGTTACGATTTCCTATTGGCTGCTCATTTATATAACAATCTGTTAATTAATTGATGGCTTAATTATTTTTGCGTTAAAAAGTTACTGCAATTTTAACTGATATCATTAATTATAAGCCTTTCAGTTTACAAAAAACGCAGGGTATGAAAAAGTTGATAGACAGTCAACAACTTTGGATTCAATTAACAAGCAAAGCAAATATTCGGTGAGGTAGAGAAAGAAACCAAACATGATTGCAAATTGAACATTATTAGGATAAATCGTGAAGTTGACGAGCTAAATGAAGTTGCGTTATTATCTGAGCTGTTAATAAATTTTTCCTCAGATAATCCTTACGACTAGTAAACTACTAGGAAAAGCTACAATGCTTATTTTAATAGCCTTAACGTTCTTAAGGTTCCAGCTTTGCATTGCATGAAGTCAAACTTTTTAAAAGGACTCCAGCGTTCAGAGCTGTAAAAGTCTATAGGATGCCGCCACGTCTTTCTGTTCAAATGACGAAAAAGATTGCTCAATTTAGAGAAAAATTATCCCATTTTCTGAAGGAAAACCAGTTTCAGCGCTTCGGTTTTACATCCCAGTATTACAATTATTTTTTTTCCGCATATTATTTTTCACTTTTGTTTCCTGCATTTAGAATAAGAGTGGATTGCATGTGTATCTCCTTGTACTTATTATTGTGTATGACAGTATACAGGATGTTTTGGGAAAAAGCGAATTATTTTGGGCGGCGGTTTCGGACCTGCGGTCAGGAGGACAAAATATGATAAGTGAATCCATTCGTTTCAATCCGATTCTTAACTGTTTTTCAAATAATCGGATCTTCTGTTTTTTGTGGATTTTTTGAGGAAAAGCGTACTCGGAATTTTCGTTACTTATTTGTTTTAGGAGAATTTTTGAATTTTTTTTGCAATTAAGTTTTTGGTCTTTTGCTCAAAATTCCTGTTCGTGGTTTTTCAGAGAGAGAATTACCTTTTTCTGTTTGAGGCTTCGGTTGGTAGGAAAAAATGAAATGTGCTAATTGCGCTACAAGTTGGGCGATTGATTAAATTACGCAGTCACGTTTAAAAGCTGCTCAAAATCCAGAAAAACTTCCGATTTGAATGAAATTTTGTGATTATTTAGCCAAAACTCGCTACTTTATTATGTCGGATATTTCCATTTGCCAGCCGAACTAGTTTTTCAGTTAAAAGTTTTCCTTTAACTGTACTAGACAAAGGATATTTATTAAATTCGCGCTCAAGTTCAAAAGGTTCTAAAAAATCAGTGAAGTATTATATTTTAAGAACATGGTGCCCTCGTTGTCGTTTATACCATTTATTAATATTAATACCAATTATTTGTTTATATTGATTTGAAAATAAAAAAATTGTCTCAAAAACTTACGAACCGATTGTTAAGAATCGCATTAAACCCTATGAGTTAATTTATCTTATTTTGACCTCCTGAAAGCATTTTAAAGGCATTTTTTCCTCCCTAAACACGGCGCTTGTGTAAATATTCAGATTATTTAAGTTCAAATTTGCGATAAAATCATGAATCTGGGAATTTAATAACTCGTCACCTTCATCTACTTAATTCTCTTAGTACATTATTGAACATGGAATGGCTTATAAGCCTAAAACTTTATTAAGAGCAAAAGTCAATAAATTTACCTTGATATTATTTAAACAATTAAACTTTTCCTTCACCAAGAAATCAAGAATGCACCTATAAAAAATTTCTTTTGTTTAACACTTTTAAGAAATTAACACACCAATTGAACGAAATCTCGAAAGTATATTTTCCCATATGGGGAACTTTGATTTTCGCTATAAAAAACTTACATTTTGTATTAATCAAGCTCTTAATTTAATTAGTTATAAGGTGTGTTTTGCATAACAAAAATAACTGTAAAACAAAAAAATATTTCAGAAAAGAAAAAAAAGTTTTTAAAATTTTCACATTTGCTTTCTTTTTTCATTTCAGAAGCTACTGATATTTTAAGCTTTAAAAACCAAAGCAGTTAATAATAATCGTAAAGTTCCTCCATTCAACCGCAACACAAATAAATAGTTTTAATCCATTTTCTCCTAATCTTAAACCTGCAATTTCGCTTCAAACGATAAAAATGACCAGCTTTATCATTTACTTTCTTCGGTGGATGGCATGCGTCGTAAAAAAAGTGAAATGCACACACATGTGAAGTACATGAAAGAAACAATGATAATTATGGTGGCTTTAAGAACACATATGA